TGGGAGCGCTGTTCGTCAAGGCAACTTTTGACAAACAAAGCAAAGAGATTGTGAGTCACTGAGCCGGCCCTGCCTTCGGAAACTTCGTCATGAGGTCTGATTGAGGTCTGGTTAGTTTGAGCTCACTCGCTCATCTCTTACAGGCTGAAAAGATGATCAACGCCATCCGGTCAGCGTTCAAAGAAGCGCTAGACCAACTCAGCTGGATGGACGACCAGACGAGACAGGCTGCAAAGGACAAGGTCCACACAGACACACAAACACAGCGCATACGCAACTTAAAGTTTGTACCCTTGGGGTTTTGAAATATAGGAGAAAGAAAATGTTGGTGGTGGTTAGGTTTACAGACGGGTTAGGCTACCTTAGTTGAGCTTAAAGTGCCCGATATCCCATAATATAACAGTTTCACTGTAAATAATATCAACAGCACAAGGAAAAGAGGCAGAAAAAGGCTGAAAATTAGGAAAGGGGTTAAAGACCGATTTGTCTGTGTGCTCCTCGTTAGGCAGATGCAATCTATGACATGATCGGCTTCCCAGAATTCATCCTGGACTCCAAAGAGTTGGACGATGTTTATGACGGGGTGAGTGAACACTGCTAAACATCGCTTGGCCCTCTGCAAACCAACCCAAGTAAGTGATGATGGCTATCCCGCCCTGGCTCCCAGAGAGCCAATCAACAGCCAGACCAGGAAACACGAGACGTCACAGGGCTTTGAAGTGGCAAGAAGTGCTCCAAGAAAGACGACTGGTGGTAATCAGTCGTCTGCACAGCACACACTGAGGGTTGAAACACCGTGAAAGCCGTCCTAAATCCGATTTAGGACATTTGCAAATAAATGTTTCCTGCAGACTCTGAATGTCAGTCTCTAGATTCACGTTTGGGTGGTGCTGTGCTGCCCCCTGCTGTTCAACTTAATGTATTCTAACAGCTTGGGTCTGTGTGTTTCAGTATGAAGTGTCAGATGACAGCTTCTTCCAGAACATGTTGAACTTCTACAACTTCTCCGCTCGAGTGATGGCCGACCAGCTGAGGAAGACTCCCAACAAAGACCAGTAATGCACACGTGCATCAGTGCACACAGAGGTCACTAATACACGCTGACATCAGGAGGCGCAGCTACACAAATATAGAGGCGCACACGTCCTCAGGGGTCGTGCTCACAGTGTGTAACCATCAGTTTACATTATTTATATTATTTATTTTTTATATTATTTTACCAATTTAAACCTACACATCAAAGACTTTTAGTTAACAAAATGACAGGACAAGAGCTCGCATTAAAAACAGGCTGATGGAGGATTTTCACTATTTTATTTATGAGCTCAGAGGTAGCTGTGCGCTCAGTCTGTGGAGCTGATTATGAGACTTACGTCACAGTTTAGTTTCTCATGTGCACGTTTGGGGAAATGAATTGGCCGGCCCCGGTAAAGGTCAGAGGTCCCTGAACATTTATACGGTATGGCTGGACCGCAGATTAACTCCTCTCCCTCCCCTTCCTTTCTCTCTTCCTCTCCTCCTCCTCCCAATCCTTCCCTTGTTTCCTGTCCTCCTCCAGATGGAGTATGACTCCTCCTACAGTTAATGCCTACTACATGCCCACTAAGAATGGCATCGTCTTCCCTGCTGGGATCCTGCAAGCTCCCTTCTACGCCCACGACCACCCCAAGTCTGTTTACCTCAGTATCTACCTGTCCATGCGTCTGCCTGTCTGTCTTTACACTTTCACACTCTTCAGGATGCTGTTTGCTCTTATTGTTGTTGTAATGAGCTCTGCTGACTGTAGGGGGTGCTGGCAGGACTTTAGACTTTCAGTTTGTGGGTGTGGCTTAAATCATCACTGAGTTTGGGCATAAAGTTCTGATTAAGTGCTGATCCGGTCATCCGCACCATGTATGTGTGTACTGTAAATATTTAAAAATACTAATTATAAACTTTATAAAACGTGTTTTTTATAAAGAACTTCCAGACGAATCGCAGCTGCTTCTGGACTCGGTGTGTGGGTAAACGTTTTGACTGCTGTGTGTTTGTGTTTTCAGGGCACTGAACTTTGGTGGAATTGGGGTGGTGATGGGCCACGAGCTCACGCATGCCTTTGATGATCAGGGTGAGTTTCATGAATTTGATTCAGTGCGCTCAGTGTGGGCGTGACGGTGTGTTTATTCTGAATTGGGATGATTATTAACGGACGGCTGCAGACCTGGCGGCCGACTGTCGTTCCTGTTGTGCGGCTTTGAAGTCTGATTGAAGTCGGCTGCCCGGGGCGCACATGCAGCTGACGTGTTGTGATGTAAATTCAGATTTGTCCACGTGGTCTTAGAAACAGGCAGGCGTGGGGACGGACCCTCATGCTCACCGCTGGGCTCATAGATCTGGGTTAGATTAGACATTTATGGGGACTGAGGAACCTGTTTGTGTGCCAGTAATTCCATAATTTACCTCAAAATGAACTAAACAAACCTAATGAACTGGAACTAAATCATGTTTAGCTTAAAACAGGCTCAGGCTCCAAACAGGAGCGTGAAACATTAAAGAATTGGAGAGCCACAGACGGTAATCCTGATTACCTCAGGAAAGTACCAACACAGCTGTGGTCCTCGTGTCCATCAGGTCGTGAGTACGATAAAGAAGGAAACTTGAGGCCGTGGTGGCAGAACTCGTCCGTGGAGGCGTTTCGCCAGCGGACCGAGTGTATGGTGGATCAGTACGGCCGCTACACCGTCAACGGAGAACACATCAACGGAAAACAGACACTCGGAGAAAACATCGCCGACAATGGGGGGCTAAAGGCCGCGTATCACGTGAGTAGGACCGCAAACCGCTGCAGCAACAGGTCAACACCTCGCACTAACCCGCGTGTTGATGCTTTCCTCCTAAGGCCTATCGGTCGTGGATCCAGGGAAACGGAGATGAGAAAAGACTTCCTGCTGTCAACCTGACCAATGACCAGCTTTTCTTCGTTGGATTTGCCCAGGTGAGACGCTGCAGACGAACGAAGCTTAGCTATTAGTTTTTTCAGTTAGAGATCTAGACCGCCAAACCTAAATGGGATTAGTTCATTCAAACGCCATCAGTTTCCTGTTACCACTGGTGTCCCCCAGGGATCTGTCCTCGAACCTCTTATGATAGTCATCTACTTCCTGTTGCTGAAAGGAAGTAGATGATTGTGAGACATTTGATTTAAAAAATGAAAGAAAAGAGATTTGTCCCTTCTGTTCTGTTCTTTTAGGTGTGGTGCTCAGTTCGGACACCAGAGAGCGCTCACGAGGGCCTCGTGACCGACCCCCACAGTCCTCCCCGATACAGAGTCATCGGCACGCTCGCCAACTCTCCGGACTTCAGCCGCCACTTTAACTGCCCCGATGGGACACCCATGAATACGGGGAAGCGCTGCGAAGTTTGGTAGTCAGACCTGAAAGGACCAGCTCGGGGTGGAGCAGGAACGGGGGGGGGAGGAGTCTGTCAGCTGACGGGTTGACGGGCTCGTTAATGTCTTAATTAGAGTTCAGGTTCTTTCATGGGGTGGGGGGAGCAGGTGTAGTCTTCAGCTTCAGTTAATCTGTAACTTGGTGACGATCAGACTTACTTCCTGTCTGGAAACTAAACGGACTCGGTGGACGCCACACGGACACGACGGACTGACGAGGAAGAAGCCACGTGGGCGGTGTCGATGATTCCTGCTTTTATCACGTTATTGATTCATAGTGTTGTTAATGGGCTTTGGTTTGTGTGTGTGTGTGCGTGTGTGTGTGTGTGTGTGTGGGGGGCAAGGTGTTTCTGCGCAGTGTACCAGGGGCACGGAGAAAAGTTGTCGTACCATAGGCACGAGGAGTGTGTGCGTGTGTGTTTGTGTGTGTGTGTGTGTGCGTGTTTTGTCCGTTGTGTGAAAGAGCTCTATAATTCCACCCCCTATGACATCACTGTGATGACCTCATACAAAGTTGAACTGTTACATAATCAGTCATGGCTGTGTGTGTGTGATTGGCCACTCAGTTATTGAGGAAGCTGTCGGCTGATTGGCTGGGAGGTTTTAGGGGTGTAGATTAGGATTAAGGAGAGGAACGAGGGTTTCGTGGGTTATTTATGAGGTTTTAAGCATTTAAAACACTTTTTCTCGGATTTATCTCCTCGCTCCGTTTCTCGTGTATATAATCTGTCAGAAATGTCGAAATTGAATCCACGCTGTAACCACTGTTTTACGCTAAATTAAGACAGACGTGACATATTTTAAAAGGTTTTCCATCATTTTGTAATCTATTACAACCCTTTAATGAGTCTGTCGAGGATTGCCTTAAAGCCAGCGTTATCTTTAGGTAACACAGAGCATAGCTCACCTTCCAGTTTGCACAGTTTAACCGACTCACTACGTTAGCGCTCTGCAACCACTAAGTAACTCACTGTTATCAGGAGACGCAGCCTTACCTACAGGTAAAGACCAGTGTCAGTGAATCAAACAGTGAGGAGAGAGGAAACAGCTTAAAACCAAAACCTGATCCTAAAACTGAGTTTGGATTTAAAATTTCAAAATAAAATGCCCTCCAAACACAATCCTGTCTATGGTCTATCTCACAAACATAGATGATTTATTTGCTCATCTTTATCAGGTAAACGGTGAACCTCTGAACATCTACCACGTCACAGCGGTCTGGTTCACACGCAGCTCCACGTCACCAGCTTTCACCCATTTGCCAACAAAACAACTTAAAACAGAAGAAGTGGGAAATCTACACTGGTGGGTGAAACTGGAGGTGTGGAGTGTGTGGGCCGCTGGTGAAACGGTGGATATTAAGAGCTTAGTGACACAGGAAGTAGTGGAAGTCAATCAAATTTCCCAGTTGTATTTGTTTCTAATGTTTTATAATAACTCAAGTTTGCTGTTTCAAACACTAGTTATAGAAAGAATCATAAATATATAAAAGTATAATGAAGCTCACAGGACTGCATTTCAGATACAGTTTGTGCGACCGGTGAAAACACTAAACTGGACACTTTATAATGAAGCTAACACTTGCAGTCACAATGAAACTATAAAATGAAAACATGATCTCCACAATGAGCTAAGAAGCTCCACATACTCCTAATATACTCGTATAGATATCAAGCCACATGCAGTTGTGTTTGTAGCCTTTGGATTTCTTTATCGGTGCGCGGGGAATGTGATTGGCTGTAAGCTTGCTGATGTAACAGCTTCTCTTGTCACAAACCATTTGCCTGATCTTTGAGTCAGTGAACAGGAGTCTGTCCTTGGAGCTCTGCATCGGTCTTTCCCACTCTTTCATTTTTTGAAATAATCGGCTGCTCGCTGAGCTCGAGGTCTGATGTGATGTGAAGGTGGCGTGAAGGTCAAAGTGTGACTTTTGGTGTATGAATGGGTCCATCATCAGACCTCGGCAGTAAACAGCTGGACCAGGAGTGGGATTACCTTTAGAGATACTCAGAGTAAACATAAATATGAGACTGTCGAAGTTAAAGATCCAACACACGTTAAACCTTCACTCGTTAAAGAACTGACGACTTGGTACCTCAGACTTCATTACCAACGATTCCTTAAAACATGGCTGAACTTTAGCTCCCGCCCAGTGCAGGTACACGACTCTGACGACAGGTGGCGCTCTCGGCCCGCTCACCTGAACCACAAGCTTAATATTCATGTTAAAGTCAGTGTTGTGATAATAACCATACACTGTGTATTGTCAGTGTTTGTGCACGTGTGGGTGCGCGTGTTTTGGAGTGTGTGCCGGCTTCGCCTCCCCCTATGACATGACCGTCCAATCCTACGCAGCTCCCGTGTGTGACGTCTTTTGTTCTGCAGAAGAAGAAGAAGCTGCCTCCGGCGAAAGATGTGTGTGGGTGCGTTTGCGTGTTCTTGTATGTCTATTGTTGTAAGGACGATTAAAAACGTTGGTTCTCCACTTTGGGACAGATTTTCTGGGACCCTTTAGAAGCAGGGTTAGGTTATGAGTTGGGGGGTGCATCGCATCTACAAGGGTCCCTGTGTAGGTAGATGCAATGAAACAATAGACAGACAAGTGTGTGTGTGTCAGGAGTCAGAGCTGTGTAATAATCTGTGTGTACAGTAAACAACAATAGAGCTGAAGTAGAAGAAACTCTGCTCATTTTAAACTCTGTGTCTGTCCTGAAGGGGGCGTCAGTGCTCGTCCAATCACAAGGCTGCGTGTCAGGTGGCTGCTGTGGGGGAAAAAAACACACCTGAAGTTTTATCTGCTTTTATTTTATTGCCCGAGAATGTAGAGAAAAGAATGAGAAATGTTTTCTATCAGGCTGCAGAAATATAATAAACACTGAACACACTCAGCCACACAGTCCTGCTCTGTTATTACAAGCAAAGGTGGAGCACGGGTGGGGTTGCATGATCGCTTTGGCTCCGCCCAGCATGTGAGTGTTTGAATGTAAGCTTGTTTCTCTGTAACACGGCTGCTGACGAGGATCCAATCAATCAATGAGAAAATCAATGAGAAAAGGCACTATTGAAAGTTAGTGGTGTCCTCACCCTCAGGTTTCGAGCTAACAACGCTCCAGTAATCAGACTCATTTTCCTTTTTTGTGCTGATTTATTGAATAATGACCTCTGACCTTCTCTTTGACCGTTGCAAAACTGAAAACATACAAAATATTGTGTTAGCTAACTAACATTGCAAACTAGCTTACTGCAAGCTAACAAGATAAAACTTTCATAATCAATTAAACAAAGTTTTAAACCATTTTAAACACAACAAGAGACAATTATTATTTAATCATCACTCATACATACGGACAAATCTCGTCCGAAGCAATATTTTAAGATCAGCTTGGAACTATAATACTTCAGCATTACGTTCAGCCATCTTGGATTTTCCGCTTCCTCTATTTTCCTTTTTCCAAAGTAATCAAAATAATATTACAAATCAGCCACTAGAGGGGGCTCTAGGGCAGATTACAAAACTGTATTATCCAGCGTAACATATAAAAGGCAGAACAAATATCCTTTATTTATATAAAGTTCTGCCAGGAGAGCAGACTCTGCTCCACACTGGAGCCTCCACTTCTCCATAGAGCGCCCCCTGGAGGACCGAAGGAGGCCCACAGACCACCTCTGCATCCTGCAGGTCAAGCTTGACGCACTGAGGACCATCTCTGGTTACACTTCCCTGCAGTCAGTGTTGAACAGCAGGTGCATTAGGGGCCAGTTTCTGTGTAACAATGTGATTAAAAACCTGAAACACTTTGATGGTTTTGGTCTTTTCATGCTGGCAGTAAGAAAACAACTGAATCGTTCCAGCCTGACTGATTAACGGGATCTTTGGTAGAAAGAAAGTAAAATCTGAGGTGATAGATGAGCTGAGAACTTCATCTGGATATGACATGAGCTCCTTCCTCTTCAGCCGGCCCTTCTTCAGCTGCACCAACACCAAAGTTAACCAGCTTGTTGTTCTCCCGTCTGCCCAGCTTCTGCCCCCTGCTGGCCTGGAGGGACACAGCAGCACACATCAGACTGACTGCATCGCTCCTCTCTCAGGGCTTTGTTCTCTGATGCAAACATGTGTTCAGTACCTTACAGTAGAAATACAGGACAACGTTCTCCAACAGCAGGATCAGTGGCAGGACGAGCGCTCTGATGATGAAGCCTGTGGGATCTGGA